GGGGATCCCCCGGGCACCCCCGTCCCTTTCTCCAGGTATCGTTAGCTGGTTGCCTGCCGGTGCTTTGTGGGATGGAATTTTTCCTGGGGTTTGGAGGTGGGGTGCGCGGTTAGGGTCTCAGCTGTGAGGGGGCTCTGCAAGGCCAGATTCCTCCCCGGTATCACGAGCCTCGGGGCGGGGGCACGAGCAGGGACCAGGCTGGGGCTGCGTGAGGGTAGCAGCAGGCACAGGAGTGGGAAGAGGGACTTTTCCCACACTAGGCGTTTGCTAGGCTTCTGGATCAGCTGTAGTACAGTGCCTGGGGTTTGCCTGTCTGAGGTTATTTTCCCTCCAAAATGTGATGTTACTTACTTTTCACTCATGCTCATCCCAAACACACATCGATTACAGCAGGGATGTAGGATTACGGAGACAACAGGGAGATTCATTTAGCACCGTTTGTGCCTCTGAGCTGATTCCTCCTGTCTTGCCAAAGAAGTATCAATGAAAGAACGGGAAATCCGCAGGGTGAGGTTTTGTCTTCATTTCTAGAGGCAGGAATCAGCAAGGATCCACGGTGAAGGCAGGGACTTCAAAATGAGCGGGGGGAATGAGGGAGAGGGTCTTCTGCCAGGCTACGGGGGAAGGCCTGGCTCCCAGGGGAGCAGTGGCAAGGAGGGGAAAGTGGCCCAGTTCTACCAAACTGGACCCAGCAGTCTTGTAGGTATTTACACCCCCTCTTTCTGTGGTATTTCTATCCTTCGCGGTCTTCACAATTTGTCCTCCTTCCCTCTGTCTGCGGTGCGGGACACTGCCCTGGCTTTACAGGTGCAGCACTAGCACTCGGAGAGCCTAACGTCTCTTCCCAGATGGCTGGACGCACACCAGCCTGCAGCCAAAAAGTCATGAGTCTCCTCCGCTGCACAGTCCTGCTAATTAGGGTGTATTTAGCAGGCTCAGCGCCGTGCTGACATAGCCACATAGCTTTGGGACCCAAGTTGGCTTGCGCCTGCCTGGTTTGGGAAGGGGGAGCAGGACCGTTGGACGGTGTAGACCCGTCCTAGGTGATGTAAAGTTGCGCAGAAAGACTCAGCAGAGCAGAACTCTGACCCCAGGTCTCCACAGGAAACACGGTCAGTTCTCTGATCGCTAAATATTCTCTCTAGAATAACAAGGGAAAAAAAACCCATGCAGCACGAGGTCTGACAGAAGGTAGCATCTTTAAAATCAGCATTTTTTAATATATTGATGTTTCATTCAGGAAAATCAGTAGGGGGAGAACTGACAAGATGCTTGCTTGTCATATAGTCACAGCGTATTGTGCCTTTTCAGTAAATCAAATTATTTTTAATATTCAAGTATAACGGGAGAGAGCTAATAAAGGTGCATAGTGTTAGCATTAAAACGGAGCTGTAATCCGATAAAAATTTCCATGTTCTTCAAAAAGCAGCTCAAACTTGTGCTTGAAAAGTTCTAGTTCAGACACTTCTTACCATGACTTCTGGCACCTGGTGATGCCTTATCGTTATCGAGATGGTAGTTTTTGTCCCAAGGTCAGTGGTGGTTGCCTCAAAAGGCATGATGTGTTTGCGCTGCCTCTCTCTTGTACCCTGCGTGCACAGTGGGTGCCCTAGATCCAGGCAGGAAGATGGAGCCTCAGTGAAGTCTCTCTGCCTCTTTCTCTCTTCTGCACCAGAGCTGGAATTTGACAGTCTCTGGTGGCCCAGTTCAGGGAGCTAAACCCGCGGGAAACGATTTCTGTTTTCTCTATTGCCCGTTGCCGGCCGGTTTGAGTCCCTGCACTGCCTCGCTGCCCAGTTGTGCGAGCACCAATGCTAGCGCAAGCAAAGGGAGCAGGATGTTTTCCATGAGTGTAGCATGGGAGGACGGGCAGCCTAGTGAGGTGGTCCTAGAACTTATACATCCAAAAACTGCAGGACTGATCACAAGAAGTCATTCTTTTGAAGGCAAGTGATCATATATTCTTTCTATTGCAAGCAGCCAGTAAGTTATGTTTTGTATAATCAGAAATTCCAAGTAGTTCCAGTGGCAGTTTATATCAGCTTAGACAAGTATGGCTGGAAATTTTAAAGTCATTTTTGTTCCTGTTGGATGTTGAGGTCTCCCCATTGAGTGTTTCTAAATTCTGTCGATGTGTTTAATGACACCAAGGGTGTTTATTGGCATAGTTCACTCCGAAATACTGTTTTGAATGTAGAGTTCAAAAATTTAGAACAGAAACGTGAAGAAAGGTGACCAATGGTTCTTGTGCTACGGCTTGTTTGTCAGCCTGTTCGCCACTCATGATTTCAGCACCTTCTGAAATGACATTTCATCCTTTTGCAAATATTTAACAGGATGAAGAATTTGGGGAAAGTGTAAAGTGCCTCAAGTATATGCAATCAAGAAATGTGTTAGGAATAATACAAAAACAATGCTCCAAAATAATAGAAACCACTGAAAGGAGGGGCGTCCTAAAGCTGCCAATGCCATGGTTAAATTCTGTCATGCCTAAAAATCGCAGTAGGTCTGGTACTTTATAAATACAAGG